AAAATAAACGTATTTCATTTTTTATAGTGTTAAAAAAACATGAGGTGTTTATTAATTGGTGTATCATTTGGCTACACTATAAGTGCTTCCTGTCCTGCATGGTATTACCTTTTAAGAATACAAAAAAAAAAAAAAAAAAAAAAAAACACCAGCAAGGAGGTAAAAAAGAAAGAGCAAACAAGTAAACTATTCTTTGAAAAGCAAAATAAATTTGTTATATTATTTTAAAAATTAAAATGCACCGCATCCCCTCCTTCCTTGCGTATTTTGTACACAGTCAGACAACGGGGCACATATAGATTTATACATATATGCATGCCCATGGTTTTTCCTTTTTGTCGTTGGTGTAATTGGCCATCCGCCCCCCCACACACACATATATGTCCTAGCATCTGAAATATGCGCTTGATACATTTTTTCCCCTCGCGTGGGGTGCCCCCTGCGCAGAATTCATGCCACCTCTTGTACATTACCGTCGTTGTTATTTTAATTTTTAAGTGGAAACGGGTTCTGCTGTTTTTCTCTGGCCGAGTTGTCTCACATGCCGTGCCCCCCTTGTCTGAGGCAAAGAGACGGACGGGGGCAGCTCTTGCAGAAGTGACAAATGAATACAAGTTTGTAATGAAAAAGGGGTCACTGTGGAGGAAGCCATGTCCCCATCTTTATAAGTCACCGCACCTAGGGGTCCTTGTCACTCACATTAATATGATAATGCATGATAAGGCTAACATTTAGGTATTTTTTTAAGAAGAACAAAACATACACCCTACGCTACCGAAATGTTGAAAGGCGTACTGCTAAGGTGAAATATGGATAAGGGCTCGAAGCGATGACCCCAAAGGGAAAAAACGCCCCCCAAAGGAAACCAACGTCATGCTTCCTTTTTTTATCAATCCCTAATTGCAAATGTTCGCCATTTTGTGCTGAACCCTAAACCATGACAAAAAAGAAACAAGTTAAATCTTTTCTGCTTGGCGCAGTTTATAGCAAATTAATATTTTAAAAAATATATATATATATAAATAAGAGAAACAGCAGGGTAGGGTTATTATAATTCATTTTAATATGTGTTTGTTAACTTCTTTTTTTGTTTTTTTTTTTTTTTTTTTTTTTTTTTTTTTTTTTTTTTTTTTTTAACGGGCATGAATCTAGTGTTTTGTATTCTCTTCTAAAAAAAATAATATTTTTATAATATATTAACAATTGGGGATTTTTTCTTCACTACGGTTTGCTTCTAAGCATTGCCGCTTTTTCTTCTTTTCTTCATCATCACATATATACAACATTTTTTTTTTTTTTTTTTGGTTCTGCCGACTGAACCTAAGTGGTATATGTAGCACCTGTGGACTTTGCGAGTTTTGTTCTTTTTTTTTTTCGTCCACAATTCTGTTGGCTAAGATAAAACAAGTCCAAATGGTATATTATTATTTTTTTTCTTTTTCTTTCCTTTCCTCACTTGACTAAATTAATGTCCTTTTCTTATGGTCATTATTAGGGAGTGAATTTTTTTTTTTATTTTTAGTAAACAATTTTGCTGATTTGAGAATATGAATTGTAAATCGTTTTCGCCTTAAGTAGCTGTTGTGTTCATTTTAGAATGTATACCTACGTGTTAGGTATATAAGAAGGTATTATACCTACTCTACAAAAGCTTTTTAAAAACCTGTGATCTTGGTGTAACGTCGTAATGATTGGATTAGGCAAGTGGAACGCGACCCTGTTGGGTGGCACCCTCTTTGGCGCCCTGATGCTGGTACGTCTTGCTCAAACAGGAGTTGGACACGAACGTCCTGCCCACAATTGCGTAATTGGGTGAATCCGTAACTGGGTCAATGCGCAACTGGGTGGGTGACTACTAACCCAATGATGGATAATTGCTCCGCACCCAACCTTTTTTTATCCGTTGTATCCTATTTTTCCTTTTTTGTCCCCTTTTTATAGAACTCACTGTCTTATCCCCAATCGGCGCATCGTGGAAGGAGCCTCTCCGAGTTGTCGCTTTATCTGGCCGGTATCACAGACCCAGAGAACTACCACTTGGGTGGACATCAACCCCGCGCCCATGACGTGGACAACGATTCTAAAAGTGAAAATGATGATGAGAACGATTCTAAAAGTGAAAATGACCTTGAGAACGACTCTAACAGTGAAAGTGACCTTGAGAGCGAGTATGAAAGTGAAAGTGACTATGAGGACGACTCTAACAGTGAACACGATTATGAGTCCACAGATACATCCGACCACTATGCGCATAGAAGACCAGGACATGATCAGATCTCCCCCGTGCAAAACAACCGCCCTGGCAACACATCTAACACACAGCAAACGCAACAAATAAATGTTTATCAAAATGAAAACCATATGATTGTTAGAAACGAAAAAAATGTTCCATTACATCCTGAAAATGCATACCTTGTACAAAAATACAGCAAAGATGGTAACCTCCCCTTTGAGTGCACTAAAGATGATTTTGTACAAATTTTGACTAACAGGCAAATTTTAAGAAAAGTAACTTATATAGCATTAGATATAAGTATACGTAAAGCGTTCATTGGTTATTACTACTTTATTGTTTACCTGAACAGATGCTATTACAAGATGATGAACAAATTGAACAATTGGTTTATGAATATAGCAAGTGCACGTAACGTACCGCACCCTGTGCAAGTGGTGTACTGGCAAAAGTGTAGAACATATCTCTTGTGGGACTTAAGAAAAATAGAAGAAATGTCCACAAAATATTTTGATGCACTTATATCACAATCCCCCAGAGTGTGGACTATAAATTATGAAGTATTTTTGAGGCGCTGTAAAACATTATGGAGGAAGACTATAATGAATACCAGGGAAAGATGGAGCCGCGTACTGTCCTGGTGGATCGTGAAATATAATCAGGACATGCAGTATTGGCAACAGCAACGTAGATTGTGGGAGAACACACATAGCCACTACCACGGACAGCAATGGGGACACCCATGGGGACAGCAGTGGGCACAACAATGGGCACAGCAATGGGCACAGCAATGGGCACAGCGCGCAGCTAGCCTTGGAGGTCAGGGACAGCCATGGGAGCAGTGGGCAGTTGGCATTGGAGGTCAGGCGCAGCCATGGGAGCAGTGGGCAGTTGGCATTGGAGGTCAGGGACAGCCATGGGAGCAGCGGACCTCTTTCCTTGGAGACCAGGGACAGCCATGGGAGCAGCGGGCCCCTTTCCTTGGAGACCAGGGACAGCCATGGGAGCAGCGGGCCCCTTTCCT